ACTCTAGAAGGGGAGATAAGATGTGCACAAATTACTATAATATAAGGTAGGTTATAAAAACAAACTCAAGCACAAAAGAAGTTGTTTCTATTCACTAGCAAGACTCGCTTTGGAGGCATAGTGTATAGCAATATTAATTTTATCCAGGGAAAAGACACCAGGATCAGCAATCAAAATATTTTCTTCTTGATAACACAGAAAATATCTTAAGGGTAAAATTTAGTTCCAAGACAACTCTTCTAAAATGTGTAGGTCTTCATGTAAAAAAAAAAAGCTTCTAAAATACTTCTGTATTTATGTCAATCTAGAAACTAAACTACATGATAATCAAAAACAGCATCCTAATCAGAATAAAAATAATTAGGAGGATTTTTGAGACTTTAATTTTACAAATGTTTATGGCTTGTAAACTGGGGACTTGGATACAGTTTGTCACAGAGTTTAGTAAACATGATAAGAAATAAGTGGTGTTGGGTGAGGAGCGTGGGTTTGTAAATTCCAAATTATAACCTACTTTACCAAAACCACATATTTTTGGCTTGCACTTCTATCAACCAGCCTTAAGATGTACCAAAATGATTCTAAGCTGCTTGAAGTACAATCTACTCCAGAATTTTCCACTTCAGCAAATCAATGATTAGGAATAAAATCACATACCCTAAAGTTGCAAACTGCTATTCAGCAAGCCAAATATGAATATACTGACAACGAAGCTTGAATTTAAAAAACAAAAGTGCATCTATGACAGGGTATACATTCTAAACTGCCTGTTGATTAGGAAGGAAATTTAAAAGGAATTAGTAAGGAATTTGAAAATTGTCAGAAGATTCTTAATGTTACTAGCATCTTCACTTCTAATATATAAGTAATGGAGGGCTGGTGCATTTGCAGAATGCCACAGATGATGTCTCTCCACGTGGAAGACACTAAGGAGCTTGACTACAGGATAAATTTGATGACATATAAGTGCCTTGGAAAGCCTCTGGAAGACATATGAATATTTTACAATTTCTGATCTGCTAAGCACATGATGAACAGGAAGCCTTTTGGCTACAGAGGCATTCAGAAAAGGTCTATCAGCTGTAACTATTTCCTTTTAGCTGATTTGATGACTTTATTCGGAACCTCAACCTCTATTGAGGGACAATGCTATAAGGGGAGAAGTAACGGGGCCTTTTCCTCTCTGAAGGCCCAACAAAACTACATGATATGGTCCAGTAAAAGAACCTCAGTCCTTGACCTCTGCATTTTTTTTTCTGTTCCTAATGAAATGAGTAAAGCCACCATGACCATGAAAATGTAGGAGAGTATCTAGGCATACCAGCATTCCACAGTCTGGGGCAGCATATATGCCCCATAGAGCAAGGAATGGCCTTCAGAATGATATTCAAGATCCAGTCAGCAGTAGCTAAGATGAGAAGTCATCCAAAAGTTATGTCACATTTGGACATAAACTTGGATGCTTTGTAGGAAATTTCCTTATGCTAAGTTACGAGTCTTCTTCCTGCCAGAGACCTAAGTTGTTTAGGAGTGAGTATGTCCCTCAAGGTACTGGGGAGAAAGTTTTTTACTTGCTTTTTGTTATACCTTTGAAGTAAATATCCTTTTATAAAAGCTAAGCAATAGTAAGAGGCTAAATGCAACTGGGATATTAGCTAATGGTGGCTAATAATGGTGGGTGTGGGCAGCAGTTACCACCCAGGAGAGGCTGAAGCCATTGCCATCAATAAGAACACAAAATTCCTCTGGGTATTCAGGAATCCTGCAGGGTAGTGCAGCTGGCTTGGATCTGGGAGACAGGGCCAGAGCAACTTACCATATAGAGTTCCAGCCACTGACTAGTATTCTTACTTTCCTCCATGTTTTGCTTATCCTAGTCTTCAGTGTCTTTAGCTCAAACCAATCTTCCCATTTTGAATGCCCTCTCTTTCTACCCTACCAATCTAAAAATTTGCATAGTATTAATCCTTTTAACACTCTTCCCAAAAAACCTACCTCTGCATCTTATATATTATCTCTCTTTAAGACATATACACATGTGCAAAATTCGTAAATTTTTTCATTTGTCAATAAATCAACAAGCATTTATTAAACACCTACTGCATGCCAGGAACATTGTGTTGGGGATACAAAAACAAAAATGCAACAGTCCCAACCTTCAAGTAGTTTACTAGATATTCTAACAAGACAAGATGATCATATTATGTCAATATACGGATAATTTAGACATAATCCTTTACATGCCTGCCACAAGGTGGGCTGTATCTTTTACATTCCTCTAAAACTGCAGTTGGACATAATGTTGATCAGAGTTTTGAGCCTTTACAAAATTGTTTCTTTGTATAAATTGTTCTGGTTCTATTCACAAGCAAGTCAGTAAGCCAGCTGAAGATTATAGCTGATGCACAGAAGGATGTTGAAAAATCAGGTTGATGTGGATAACTGGAAGAAGAGTAGCCTTACTCTCATCAACATTCACTAATTTATCCACAGCAGTCATGGTTATCATTATAAAAAGTATTAGGTGAGCCTGAAAACAGCCAAAGAGGTCAATCAGGAGATTGGTGGACAAAGGCAGAGTCATCTCTGTTGTAGGGAAAGGATGATACATAACTGGCAGGAAATGAAGGAGGACAACACCAGCTAAGAAGCACATCGAACAGTCAGTAAATGAGCATTGATTAAGCATCTACATTTAATAATTTGCCAAGAATTGTGTTAAGCACTGAGGATACAAAGAAACTAGGCACAAACACTCCACAGTCCCTGCTCTTAAAGAATTTGCTGTCCAACGAGGGAGACAATATGAAAACAACAATGTACAAACAAGATATACACAGAATAAAATGGGGATGGTCTCAGGGGAAAGTACCAAGATAAAAAAAGAAATAAAAAAAGTTTTTGCAGAAAATAGGACTTCGGCTGAGACTTAAAGGAAGGCAGGAGGCATGTATGAGGTTGCAGAAATTCTGGCATGGGGAAAAGCTAGTGAAAACCTTCAGAATTTGGAGACAGAATTTGTATGGGAGAAACAAGGAGTTCAGTGTCACTGGCTCAGAGTATGTGAAAGAAAGTAAAGCATAAGAAGACTAGAAATGTAGAAAAGAGAAGTTACAAAATGCTTTTAAAACAAAATAGAAGATTTTGTAGTTTATTTTGGAGGTGTATGAGAGGCCACTAGAGTTGACTGAACAGATGTGATCAGATCAGCACTTTAGAAAGATCAATTTGTGGATAAAGGCCTAGAGAAGAAGAGATTTGAGGCAGGAAGACACCAAAGAGAAGTCTCTTGCAATAGCTCAGGAGTGGGGTGATAAGGGACTATACCAAGGCAGTGACACTGTCAGAGAAAATAAGGGGATACATATGAGCAGAAAGAATACAATGATATCAAAAGATGACAATGCTAACTTTACAGTGTCAGAAGCAAGAGCTGTCACTTGCAGACATGTGCATTCATCATGTATGGAATACCCACAAAATTCATATAAAGATACACTCTTCGCACTGAGTATGCATGTATTTGTGGAAAAGCCAACACAATGATTATGGAGATAACAGCATATTATTATATTATACATATTGGCATTTAATTAAAATACCTTTGTTATGAACAGACTGGTAAAAAGCAAAATACTGGTAGGGAGCTTGTTGAATAAGAGTTTGGAGTGAACGCTAACCCAAAAAATAACAAGAACCTGGCACCACTAACTGGGGGAGTATGAGGTAGAGTATCAAATATATTCTATACAAATATGACTTCCATTTTAATTTGCCTTGGTAATAATAAGAAAAATATGGTTGAATTCTTCTTGTTGTGTGTCAAATGAGTTGTTAGTCAGAAATCACTAAGTAACGTGGTCAGAGAAGTTTATTTGAGGCATGGGCACTTTCTATGAGTATGGCTCTATTGAAAGCATCCATTTTCTCCCACTGGGAGGTTGTCTTTAAATAGAATATAGAAATGAGACTTGAATCCAGGTCCTCTTGACTCAGAGGCCAACTATCCACTATATCATACTTTCAGAGTTGTGTTTATGTTTATGAGAAGAAAAAAAAAGTATCCATTGCTTCCTCTATGACCAAGAACCTGAGCATTTATCAGTGTCATGGAATCTGTAGTCAGTGTCTTTCCTTAAGAAAAAAGAAACAAGCTTGAAATGATATTACCATTTCTATAAGCCTCTTGTTCAATTATTTTGCAATGTTTTACTTCAAAAACATTCTATATCTGACTAGAAGCTCAAGAATTCTATAAACATAGCCACAGACCAATTTCAAGCATCTGTCCCAATACTGAAAAATAATTACTTTTTGAAATTTTATGTTCTAACATTTTCAATGCTATATATTTTTAATTACTTGACTGAAATATTATTTAAGCTACAAATTTCATAAAGAAGTAATTTAATGAATTCAAGAAATGGATAGTGCCCATTACATGGAATAACACCTGCTTAGAGTATTTATACAACTTTTCATATTTATACTACAGAACGTGCAAGCATTAGCTTTTTAAACATTCATAGACTTTCAGAATCCAGGTGTAAAAAATGAGTGAAAGGTACTATTTAATATAATGACCCTAAAACTTGGGCAAATGTCCATAAATAGATATAAGCAAATTATTTTGGTCATATTGATAACATTTTTGTTAGCAATCTTAAACACAATTTGTTCAGATTTTTTTCCTATAAAAAAATTTAATTTAAATAGGTCAACTTAGGAAGTCTTAAGAGTCTAAAATTTACACATTTTCTCTAATTTATAGTCAATAGTAGACAAATTAAACTAAAGTTACCTATATCTAAAAATAACTCTTTCTGCTAACAATATTAGTATATGATCCTGGCCCACAGATTTGGGAGTTTGTTGAGAACTGATCTCTACTTCCACAAGGATGGTGAAGAATGATCTTTGGCCCTAACACATGCATATTATATAGATATAATACATCATCTTAAAGAAATTTCCCGATCTTCAGGGCTATTTTTCCTTACCTGTGCACATAATGTAGTTGATGCACTGAATCAATGGCTATGACCATCTCAGCCAAGTAAAATCGAGCCATATCCTCAGGCAGTCTATCTTCAAACTTGCTGAGCAGAGTAAGCAAATCCCCACCAACGTAGTAATCCATAACCAGGTACTGTGAAGGGAAATATAACATTCATTCAGAAAGAAAAATTGAATACATTCCCAAGGTCAAATGCCAAGGGAATTCTTATGAATCCATTTTTTAAAAAGGAACTGTATAGAAAGATCTACAAGTGTAACCAAACCTTTATGAATATGAAGATCCTTAATATTAAAAACTGCCATTACAAATCCTCCAGAGGCAATATTTGATCTACTGATATCCAATGATTAAGAAAATACTTAGGACACTACTTCAATGGGCCTGTAATCTTACTAATACAGAGCAATATGCATAAATACAGGTCACAAATCAGTCTTGACTTCTCAACCTGTGTATTTCCTAGTTATTGATTTTCCTGCAACTACTCCAAAGATATGTTGAAAATGTTCTTCTGGACCTTTTTTACATTTCATTGGAACCAGTACTGTTCTCAGGCAGTCCATCTATCATCCATACTTACTGCACAACCAAACCATATTTTTGCTCAAATTCTTTTTACATGATGTCTTATATACCACCTCTCATAAAATATCTACATATAAGTATAGATAACATACATGCCAAGCAAGTACAAGTTAATGGCAGAGGAAGGCAGTGGAATTTAGGAAGAGAGAACAGGATCACCAAGCAGTCATATTTGAGCTGTGTTCTGAAGAAAGCTCAAGCTTCTAAGAGGCAGATGATATAAGGAGGAAGTATAATCCAGGCATAGTGGATAGCCCTACCATACCATAGGGGAGAGATGAAAAGTTCTGAAGACAAAGTAAGAAGGCCAATCTATCTGGACTGCATATTATATTGAGGGGAATAATAGACAATAAATATGGAAAAGTGGGTTAGAGCAAGGTTGTAAAGAGATTTAATTGCCCAAGGAAGGAGATTGTAGTTGATCTTGGAGGCAACAGGAGACAAGATTTTACTGAACAGAGAAGCGACATAGGAAGATCAGTACATTAGGATAGTTTGGCAGCTAAGGCAGAAATAAAATAGCTGAGTGAGAAGAAGCAATTGAACCAGACTTCTCCCTACTTCTTCTCCATGACGATCTAGAAAACAGATTGGTCCAAATTCTGATCTGGAAAGCCAAGAAAAAGTCAATGAGGCATCTTTCCAGACCACAGAAGATTAGGAATACAGAAAGAGAGGTTTGCAGACAGTGGGGAAAAGGACTAACCAGAACACATAAGGAGATGGTGGGGAGCATTCTAGCACTCAGGGACGGAAAGAAGGCTAACCCAGAGCACCTAGGCAGGAAGAGATCCCAGGACATCCCTGAATTAACAACGGGTACAGGAATGGAAGCCATCTGGCAGTTCTATGGCCAATTATTCAGTTTCAGGTCACAGATCCACAGAAGAGAGGAATGGTCTAAAGTATGGGGCCAAGTAGAAAATTTAGCAGAAAATATTCTAGAAGGAAAAGGATAAAGAATTACAACCAAGAATAACACACTCACCAAAAGTAAGTATAATCCCACAGAGGAAAAAAAGGATTTTTTTAAAAATAGAAGACTTCTAAGCAAGCATTAATAATGAAAAGATCAGACCTGGGAAGAAAATCTGACATGCAAAGGTGTCAAAAGAAGCATTACAAAAGCTAAATATCAGCAAAAACTCATAAAGGACTAAAGAAGATTAAGCTGTTTACATACATAAATGGGGAGATGATACATAACACACTTCAGAACTTTATTACTAGACATCTTAGAGGGAATCGAATTAGAGAGGCTAAGTGTGATATTATTATGTGTGGATGATCTCAAAAGAAGAACAGAAAAGAAAAATACACTGGGAGAGGAAGAAAGGGAAAGGAAGAATGGGGTAAATTACTTCACACAAATAGGGTTTTGCAAAAGCAAAAACAGACCTAATTAAGATAAACAGGGAAACTATACTTTGATACAATGTTTCATAGACAATGACTATCAATACTAAACATACATGAATCAAATGGCATAGCATCTACATTCTCCTAGGAAAAGTTAAAAGAGTTTAAGAAGGTCACAGATAGCAAAAATACAATAGTAGACCTCAATTTATCCCCTCTCAGACCAATACAAACCTAACCATAAAATAAATTAAAAAGATAAGGAGATCAACAGAATTTTAGAAGATATAACAGAGCTAGGGAATACTGAATGGAGTAAAAAAGGAGTACACCTGTTTATAGCTATGTAAGACAACTTCATAAAAACTTCACCAATTCAGAAAAGCAGAAATATTAAATAAGTATTTTACAAACTATAAAGCAATAAAAATTATACTCAATAAAGGGCCTTTTAAGCACACATTATTCGTTAGAAACTAAATAAATTAATCTAAAGGTTGGTTGGGTCAAGGAACAAATCATAGAAAAAAATCAATAATTTCATTAAAGATAATAACAATAATGAGACAACATACCAAAATGTGCGGGATGTAGCCAAAGTAAAACTTAGAAGAAAATTCCTATCTCTGAATACTAACATCAATAAGAGAGAAAGAATAGGTTGACAGGCATTTTACAAAAGAGAAACAAACAAAAACAAAAAACCAAAACAAAACCTAGAACATCAACAAAGTAAAAACCTCTAATACCATACCACGACAGAAAAACTGAACTGTTAAAAAAAAATAAGGCAGAGAAGCTTTAAGCTCATTTGATTTTTGAAAGAAAGAAAAACCATATCAAAAATGAAAAAAGTGAATTTCCAATCAATGAAAAAATAAGAACAATTGTTAGGAGCTACTTAACCCAACTACATGCCAATAAAACTGATGGTCTAAATGAATGAGTATTTACAAAAATACAAATTGCCTAGATTAACTGAGGAAATAGAATAGGCCCTATCTTAGGAAATGAGCCATAAACAAACAAACCATAAACTAACCCTAAATGAACAAGCCATAAATGAACTCCCAAAGAAAAAAATCCCAGGACAAGATGGATTTACAAGTGAATTCTGCCACACTTAATAAAAATTAATTCCAATACTATATAAGTTGTTTTTAAAAAATAGTAAAGTAGGGTCCTTCTCAATTTCTTCTGATACAGATATGGTCTTCATACCAAAACCAGCAAGAGTTATAATAGAGAAAGAAAACAATAGATCAATTCCCATAATAAATATTGATGCAAATTTTTAAAATAAAATATTAGCACAAATATTATAGCAATATATCACAAAGATCATACATTACACCTAGGCTGTATTTACAGCAGGAATGAAGGACTAGTTCAACATTACAACATAACTGACCTCATTAATAACAAAAACAACAAAAATCTTATGATTAAAACAACAGATACAGAAAAGGCTCTTATCAAAATTCAACCACCACTCTTGTTTTAAAAAAACAATTCAAAACTATAGTAATAAATGGAGCTTTCCTTAAAACAATAAGTAGTATTGATGAGATGTGGAAGAAGATTAAAAAAGCTTGACAATGTATCAGACATATGAAGTGAGGCAGGGTGAAGGGTCAAAGATACATTTGAGATGCCAAAACTGAACAGATAGTGGTGTCTTGCAGAAACAGAGAATTATGAGAGAGGGGTAGGCTTGGGAGGGCATGATGCTAATGAATTTTCTTCAAAATGCTGAGTTCAATTTGACTGTAGAAAATGCCCAATAAAAGATGGTGATATATAGATCAAGGATTCATCTGTATATAAATCAAAATTAAACCCTAAAGAGCTGACGATAGAGAATAAAGAAATAAAAGGTCTAGAACAGAGCACTGGCATACACTTAGTAGACAGGAAAAGAATGATGATACAGCAAAGGAAATAGAAAAGGAGCAGTCAAACCAAAGAATCAAGCTTAGCAACTGTCAAAGCCAAAAACAGCAGTCCTTAGGAAATTAGGTGAAACAAGAGGAATGCTAACTGACTGCAAGGAAAAATGGTTATCTCTATTTTACAAGAAAGAAGGTGCAGATTCCTGAACCTATAGATTGAGAAGAGATGCCTACGAAAATTCTGGAATTATCAGTTTGTGAAAAGAACATGGTAACAACTAGGTTAAGAATAAGTTATACTACTAGTGGGTAACTGGGAGCCAATTTCCCCACTTACCCCTAAAGAAGATCTACAAACTTGAAACTCAGGATTCTCCTTCATCATTCTCTTTGACTCTGAAAGGCTTTTTTTGAGTGAAAGAGAGGTGGGGGTAACGGTAGACCCTAGGCTGGAAAACAGACAACTGGATGAAGATCAAGGGGAGAGACAGCAACTTTTTCGTGTCTTGGTGTACAATCTGGTTATCATCCCTCTTTATCTAATCTTGGAGCCTATTTTGATTCCTTGAATTGTTGCCAAATTTTCATTTTTTCTCATTGGTTTTACATCAACGTAGATGCTGTGGAAGGAGCTTGCTGTCCAAGGACCCAAAAGCTACGGAGATATGGAACCAAAATGCCCTAGATCCATTTTTTTCCCTCTCTAGCTGCTTCTCTATGGCAGCATTTCCCAAGACTAGTTCTCTATTTTGAGCATAAATGGAGAGTAAGTTTGGGTGCTGACAGAAACCTCCTCCAAACCAACAACCAAAAACCAAACAACCAAAAAACCAATCTGGTTAATAGTCACACTCTTAACCAAATTCCAAGACCAGTTATCACATGGGGGAGGGGAGGAAACCTTGGGGCACAACAGAGACTTTGAAGTTAATCCTCCTCACCTCTAGGCTATATTATCTACTGCTTCTTAAGGCTGAATGTGCAGTAGTGAAAACATTCCTGCCATCTAATCCAAGCCCATCTGCCATCACCATTAGAGGGTTTGGAGACACTGAACTCCCATAAAACATACATAAGCAATAATGAAAGATGACGGTGCTGAAAGACATTCCTAACACTCTACTGGGGGCCGCGGCGGGGCGTGCGGGGGGAGGGGTGGCATCTGCCCCCTTACTGCTGTGATTGTGGCTATAAAAAGACAGGGAAAGATGGGCAGGGCCTGAGAACATTATATTGCTTCTACCAAGATTCTCTTCAAGTGTCCCGTGATAAGTGACCATGTTATCTGGC